CAGTATAGATAAATTTTATTTTTTTCTAAGTATAATCTAATGTGAGTTTATCAACAACCTATCTGTTCGCGTCTGCGCTCGTTATTTAGTACTCTCTATTCCGAATTTCAAATCTTTTGAGTTGTTTTAGCAAAGTAATTTACTCATTAACTTTCGCATTTATTATTAAAGTGGTTTTTACGTTAAATCATTACATATAATGAATTTAAAAACAATAAGATATTAATAAGAATTAAATTATTACGTTATTCAAAGTGATCTTTTAAATGTGAAAGCTTGGGAATGAGTGAGTGTTTTTGTCAAGTATACTCATTTAGCGAATAAAAAAAGTATTATTTTTATTATGAAATGTCCTTGACGATTGTGAACCCCTTACTTTAGGGGCCATCCCTTACTTAAGGGCATATCCGGTTTTTATACGAATAAGGAACTACCTCCTGCTCTCACTATAGGTGGTGTTTTACTTTATTGGTTTTTGCCTTTTGGCCATTCATAAAAAGTAATAAGCATTTTTTTTAAATATTACATTTTAAATAAAATATTTCTAATTCCTATGCAAACTACAGGGTTATCAATGAACTAGATAGAGAACATACTAGATTTCGGAGGAAGGAAATAAGTTTTTTTTTAAAGCCCTAATAATATAAAGGCATTCTACACTCGATATTCTTTTAATATTAGAATATTTATTTAATGGTGAATTTGATTACGTCTATTTTAAGTTCAAATAACACTGATTATATCTCTTCTAAATTTATGCTCGCCTAGTACTTATTCTTGCTACTTGTCTTACGAATTCGCCTTAAAGGATCCGCCAGAATGGACTCGGTACCAAAGAAGAAGAGGTTATAAAAAAAACATTAATATTTTGACTCTAAAATTTAAATAAGTATTGGAACTTATGAATTGTAAACGTATAAAAAAATCTACACCTAAGCATGCTTAGTGCTTTAAACTACTTAAATAATAAAATACTTAATACATATTTAAATAATTCAACTCATTTATTATTATAAAATAATTTCTATAAAAATTGTCAATAAACGGTCCATCTGCCTGTCTGTATGTTGGTTTTTACGATTTTGTTTCATGGTAAAATGGCATAATACCTCAGTATTTAAAAATCTCATATCCCGTTAAACAAAGATTTCCCGTGGGATAACTTACGTTATTTTATAAAATTAAAAAAAATATTTACAGGTGCATTATAATGTTATTTATTGAATATGAAATTAAAATATTATTTGTTGCTAGTTCTTAGTACTGAAGCATTTTCCTGATGTTTTTTTGTTTTTGATACTAATCAATTTCAAACATTAATATATATTTACTAAATATTTTTATTTTTATGACATATGACTAGAGGTATTTTGAAATAAAACAAACGAAATATATATTTATTAATAATTTTTAATTCGAATTTGACAAATGTTTGATGTAAAATAGACACGATAAATAACAAAAAAAAGGTTAATTCGAATTTTCAGTACAAAATCATATTCATGAAGCTACACTTAATAATAACAACATAATATTCAAGACAGAATATAAATTACACAATATTATCATCGATAAGATAAGATTAATATATAAGTAAGTACATTGAAGTTTTTATTTAGAGCTGGTATACTTGGTGACCGCTTTAGTTCCTTCACTAACAGCGTGCTTGGCTAGCTCGCCTGGCAACAACAGCCTCACAGAGGTCTGGACCTCCCTCGAAGTGATTGTTGACCTCTTGTTATAATGTGCCAGACGGGACGCCTCTGCCGCGATGCGCTCGAATATGTCGTTTACAAAGGAATTCATGATAGACATAGCCTTGCTAGAAATACCGGTGTCAGGATGTACTTGTTTCAACACTTTGTAAATGTAAATGGCGTAGCTCTCCTTTCTCTTGTGTTTCTTCTTCCTTTTGTCTGATTTTGAGATATTCTTCTGTGCTGCACCGGATTTTTTTGCCGCTTTTCCGCTGGTTTTTGGTGGCATGGCCGATTATTTGGTGTTTTCTCAGATTGTTAGACGTCGTTCGTTCAATACGATAGCCTGGATCAGTGTGATGTGAAAAATCTTTACCCTAGCTTTATATACAGGGGTCAATACAGTCTGAGTGACGGTACGCGAGCGAGTAAGCGATTCAGACCAATGAAAACGAGGTAACACCACAATGCAGTGCAACGTATAGTTGAAAATATAATCAATAATGTAGGAAGGAATATCGTATAGTGAATTTTGTTGTAGAAGTTGTTCTTTTTTCTTTTCTTTTTTTTTAGTATATCAAGATATTCTCTTTCTTTATTGCTATGCCAGCATTGTTATGCCAAAGACGATATTATTTGCATAGTTTTCTAAAATTTGTACAGCGCCATCTATTATTGAATTTTGTTTTTAAATTGTATTAGTGCCATCTGCTACTGAATGGCCAAACTAATTGATAATACAGCTTTCTCATCTATATTTATGATTAAAAATTTGAAAATTTGCTGTTATTTTTAATTATGTTCTTGTATATAAATTAAAATATTATCATACTTAATAAATGGGCCATATTTATTTTTATATTTCAATAAAAAAATTTTTTTTATAATGTTCTTAAAACTTTGTTATAATGTTATAGATCATATTTAAAGGATGATTCTTTGCTTTGCTATTTGATTCCTTTAAAATAATTAGCGTTCTATATTATTGTTTCTATATTTGTAAATAAAATGAATTTGACTGTAAAGTATATAAGCATTTCGATTACCAATATACTCTATATTATATTATTTTAAGCTTTCATAAATTAAAATAAATTTTTAAATAATTAAATTAAATATAATTAAAAATTAAAATTAATTTCATAAATTAATATTAAAGGTTAATAATTTCTACACTAGTAGGAGTTTGACACGACGAGAGGAAACTTAAAATTATGTATCTCTTGATATATTATACTAGCAGTACATCTATCGGCGAGTAGCGTACACTGTTTTATGGATTCAAGCAAACTTTAAATATTACAAATATCTTAAATAAAATTATCTTTTCGGATTTTTGGTCCCCGACGTTTCGAATGCTTTACATCAATCATGGTCACGGGAGAGACTAAGGTTATAGACGTCTCAAACACATACTCGTTTTATTTAAAATGTCAAATATTCGCGTAAATCTAAGAAAGTACAACAAATATCCATAAACTATTTCATATATTAAGTGTTAGCAGTATTTATTGTTTTTAAAACGTACTTTTTCACATCTATTCTAATATTATAAAGAGGAAAAATTTGTTTGTTTGTATAGAATAGGCTCCGAAACTATTGAACTGATTTAGGTGATATTTGGTAAGAAGATAGTTAGAGAACCTGGGAATGATATAGAATAGTTTTTATCCCGGAAATCATCCCTTAAGGGGGTGAAAGTATGTATGGGGAAGCAAGCTAGGGACGAACCCGAGCGAAGCGAGGGCGAGTCATTAAAGTCATTGATTCAGAGTGGATTAAAAATTTTATAATTTGCCAATATTTATAGAATTTTATCATCTATCATAATAAAGTTAATTTAGCTTTTATATATAGTGAAATCTCAAAAACGTGCATATATTTTTGGAATTTATTATTGTGTCACAATAGTGATGGATTGTTGTATAAAAGGTCAAATGCATTAAAATTTAAAATATCTTTATTTTCATATAAATTTTACAAATTTTACACACCATTTCTAATGAGCTCTGACCTATTAAAGAAATTTACAACTCTTACTATAAAATGCATCATAAAATAATAAATACACCCACCAAATCGCTTTACCAGGATTTTTGGTTAAAAACAGTGTAAAACTAAAAGAACATTTAGTTTCAAAGCAAAAAACAAACAAGAATAAGCTATTTACAAAAAAAAAACGTACGCACGTAAGAAGTTATAATTCTTTGACGTAACAGAACAAAAGTAGCTAAAGATTTCATTTGTATGTCACAACTCTCTGTTTGTAAAAGGAATGCAGCTAACTTTATCATGTCGCTTTTTGGCTGTCGGTGTGCGCGCGCATCGTAAAAATTTTACTCTTCACTCCAAACGTCCCAAAAGAAGTGTGATTTCAAAAACTTCCTTACTGTCAAAAATTACAGTCAAGACAGATTATGTTAAAAACAATAATTTGATGACAATTCTTTTGTAAAAACTTTTTTAAATTTCATTAGATATACACTTCATATGGTTACAAAAATACTTCAGTATTTTATTATAACTTCAAGTACTGAAATAATCTACAAACAGCAATTTACTGTTAATTCAATCCTTTTGTTAATGGCTTCAAAGCGTGCCAGTTGAGCACAGATTACTTCGATGTCCAGTAGAATGGTAGACGATTGGAAAGAAGAGAAAAGAATTTGGAAAGAAGATTGGTAATTTACTGTTATTCAAATCAATTCTCAATTGAAAATTCAATGCAATTCTCTTTAATGCCTTCTAAACAAGTCAGTTGCGCCCAGATTACTTCAATGTGATTACATAGAAGGCATGGGAGATTGGTAATTTACTATTAAAAAAGCAGTTTGCCGAGTGAAGTCACAAAGCAAATGTAACTAGCATCAGTACAGCAAAGTTATAATTTAAATACAGAATAAACTAAGATTATATCTAGACATTTTAATTTACATGTAACTTATAGATTTTCTCAATAATTACAATGTATATAACAAAGACTACAGTATATAGAAAAAAACATGATAAACAAAAACAGACTGCATTCATAGTTATGGAACTTAAAACTAAAATATTTAAAGAAATCTATATGGGTGATGTAAAACCAAACTTTAGGTCTTATAGGACTTTAATAAAAAAAAGAACTGACCGTCTCTAAAGACCCAAAGACCATCACAAACCACCAACATTGTCATAATATTCAATATTCCTTGCAATTTACGTAAAATACACATCAAGTGTCAACCACAAACAATTTTACCTAAGGATCCTTAAAACACTATTCGAAGGCATTTACTTACACCTAAAATTACACTTAATTTATTCATATTTATCCCACGGCACATTTTCAATTGCATGCTTTTTTTGCTTATGTTTTTTAAGATATTTAGAATCTATAAATGCTTCACTGCATATTGAGCAAACGTAAGGTCTTTCACCAGTATGTGTTCTTAAATGTACCACCAAATTCCCTTTTAGAGCAAAGAACTTCATACAAACTGAGCAACCGAACTTCTTTTCCCGAGTGTGAGTTAGCTGATGGGTTCTCAAATGGGTTTTAGTTTTGAATCTCAGGGAACAGAGTTGACATGGGAATGGTCTCTCATTAGTGTGGACCCTTTCGTGCATTATCAACATGGCCTGACTCGTACATCCTTTGCCGCAGATACAACATTCGAATCTTTTGTTAGTTTTCTTTAGATTTTTATCATTTGGCAAATCTGATTCCACAATATGAGTACTTTCAACATGCTGTTCTAATGCTGATTCGACTGAGAACATCTTCTTACATAGTGAACAGGCATAACCTAACAATTTCCCGTGATCTGTAGTTACTTCTTGTCTAACAGTTTTCATTAACTCTTCCTTAACTTTCATTATCCTTGACTTTGAGCATTCATCTGTGCCTTTGTGTGTCGTTAAATCAGATTTGTTTTCAAACTTGATGCCACACTGACTGCATGTGAAAGGACTGATGTGTGTTAGTCTGTGTGTTTGCATTGTTATTTTTTGGTGAAACCGTTTCTGACAGATGTCACATTCAAACTCCTTGATACCACTGTGTATCATCATATGGCGTTTCAAGTTGTTCTGATTAGCAAAGGTCTTTGAGCAGACTTTGCACTGCGGCTTAGTACTATGTATATACTTGATATGTTGTGTTAAAGTATTTCTTTTGACATTCTGATGACAGAATGGACAGCTTACAAGAGCACCTGTGGGATTGGTATGCAAAAGCATATGCCCAGTTAAAATTTCAGCCGTTTCAAAACCTTTGCCGCATAAATTGCACAAATGATCTCCAGCTGGATTGTGCTTATATTGATGCTTTTCATAATTCTCTATGTCATCAAACTGTTCTCCACAATCACACAAAAAAGTGCCATCCTCTTGTTGTAATACAGTTGCAATTTCGCTGTCATCAGCATACTCTATAACTAACTCGGACCCATCACATTTAACTAACTGAAACTGCGGGGAGTCGTCCCCTTCATATAAAATAACTTCTTGTGACATAGAATCTCCATCAAGCTTCAAAGCATCTGTTCCAGTATAATATTTAATGCCATCGTCACTTTTGAGCAAAATAGTCCTTTCTGCACCAGATGGTGTGAGGATTTTGATAAAGTTCTTAGAGTTTGGGAGGTTTTGTATCATATCATTTGTAATTGGTATTGAGAATTCATGAGGTTTCTCTTGGGAGTCCTCATTAATGGCCACATCTTCTTGAATATGATTGATATCAACATCCATTGCTTGATCAAAGTGGTCATCATTCTCAGGTTCTTCATTTTCTAGTATAGTGTCTGGTACGTTTGTAGTTACTTTTGGATGAGATACGAGAAATGAATCTATGGTAGTTTCAAATTGATTGGCATTTGTATTTACTTCATCTATATTATTTTCCTTTGTTATAGTTTCTACGGGTGCATCTGCATATGTTTCATCATCTGACTTATCATCTTTTGGGTTATCAACAACTACTACATAGTAATAGTCATCATCACTGTCGTTAGGTTCTTTTTTTATTATAGATTCTAGCTGTTTAAAGGATTCTTTGGCAAGATCTTCTATTGTCATATCCTCGTTAGCTTTAAGCTGGGTTTCTATTTGGGAAAATGACATTTCCAATAGGCCTTCGTCTTTCACTTGGTTTATTAACGATTCTAATTGCAGTTTCAATTCTTTATCTACTTTCATACACTGCATACGAAATTGATATGCTGAAGTCATTAAGGTAAAACAGTCACCACATAGCCTTTGAGGTAACCCATCATCTTCTCTCGGCTGGAAAAAATGGACAATTGTTGTGAAAATTTGTTTGCTTACAGTGCATGGGTAAATCAATTAGTTAGGTTAGTATAACTTTAATAATAATATATAAAATGATATTGTTCACTTAAAATTGGTTTGATTTAAGATGTACTATGTAAAAATACAACTATTTGCATTGATATTATTATCTTTATTTGTACTTCATACAGGTGAAAATATTATGACAACAATATATATACATTTTTAACAATTATGTTAAAAACACTATTTATCAGTATGAAATATTTTTAATTAATAGTATAATAAATATGTCAAAAAAAGACATCGACTAATCTAGCTTTACAGGATACTTCAATTAAAAAATCTTGATATAAATTATACTTTAACGAGCTATTTACCTCAATAGTAGTTATTTGAGAGAACTTCTCTCGTACGTTGTCGTCGGCATCAAACAGTGACACTTCAGAATCTGGAGCAAGACAGCAACGACACAAATCCGACCAAGATTCCATGTTAAAATACTTCATACATATTTATCCCGCCAGGAAATCCTACAAGATATAACATAAAATAATTAAAGTATTTATTAGACACCATTGTTTTGACAGTTGTTTTCATGTAATCATAAAGTAGGTACTATCCAAAGAGTAAAAATTATCTACGGACCTTGCCATAAAGACGATCTATTGGAAATTATAGACAACAGAGCGTATCAAAATGGCGGCAGTACACGCGACAAGAAATGGCTGCGGAAGTGACGTCACATAATCACCGTCAATGAAAGAGAGAGATAGCAAGATTTTACCGCGGATTTTTCTGTCATATATATATGAGATATAGTTTATAAATTACTATGTTACATACCTTTATTAAATATTTGAAAATTTAATTATATATGTTGAGTTTTATAAGGCATAGAAAAGATCTTTGAATAAATTTGTTTTACTGTTCATTGTTAAGTCCACGCTACTCTTCATGTTGGTATAATTTCCGTTGTGAAGTCAAATAGCAATAATTCAGAATGTTTTTATTTTTACTATATGGAATTGTAGGTTTTTGTATTCATTATTTTGTATTATAATAATTTTACTTTAATTAAATGGAAAATAACTGTTTAAGTATTATTTACATCTTTTATAATCTGTAGTACTATTATTATTAAATGCGGATCTGCAATTGAGTTTACCTAACTATGTGATAGATGTCACCACTTGTATCTTAAATTTGTTTTACTAGGAAAATATTATATTTTAACCGACTTCCAAAAAGGAGTAGGCTCTTTATAAGTTAATGAAATGTTTTTAATTTAATCAATAAAAAATAGGTATATTTCTTTGTTTTATATGAATTAAGACATAAACTTTAAAATTTCATTATAATTATTATTAATTAGCAAATAAAATATGTTAACAAGTATAAAATGAATATTCATGTTAAAAATTGAATTTGTAATTCTCAATGTCGATGACTCTCCACTTAGACCTTAAGGACTATCATGACAGTGCTTATAAATTTAACCAAATCATTTTTTTTTATTTTATCATACAGAATTCTGTACCTTATTTTTGGCAGACAAAGGCTTTGCTTGACCGCAGGGCTACAAGAATAAGATAATACGGGATTTAGGTATCTACCTTCAAAACATGCGGAAATTTTCCTAAAGTTTCCATTTACGTTTAAGGGGTGTGCATACAATATTTTAAGATATGATATAATATCTATTTTAAAATTTGTAAATATGTATTTTAGATTTGCTTTGCATCGACTGGCACCGACTTCGAAAATATCTGATTAGGTATCTATTCTAAATGAAAACCTCCGTTTAGTTATTTTTTACATTTTAGTGCCTGGAAGTCGGTTTTTATTTTTTGTTAAAAAGTTTTTCTGTTTAAATGGTTCTTCGGTTGCGCCATCTATATTGGAGCATAAAACTAAAATGTTATTAAAATATTGCTAAAATAACATTGAACACACATTGAGCTTTTATCTCCTAGAAATATATTAGCGGGAAAAAATATTCCGTTAGTCCAATATATGATTTATAGGTATGTAGTTTTATCTTAATCCCTAAAAAAAACTTAAATTTTAAAATGATTTACTACGATATATATAAAAAGTGCGTGTGTGTGCAATTCACACACGGTGGAAGTGAAACTTCAGAAAAGTTACCTACGAGAGAGTGAGATAAATATAGAGTATCAGGAGTAGGATAGGTACCTATAAATTTTTTTAGAATATTTTTACCAAGTTTAAAAGTTATTTTACATTTTACTTAATACATATTTAACATAACATATTATTCAGTATTATTTTTCACTTCCTGCCTTCCTCTCGCCGGCCTAATCCTATATATTTATGTGTTTTTCTCTTTTTCGTGACTCATTTTCGTTTCATAGAGTTTCAAATCACAACGATTCTAAAGAAGGTTCACTTCAATAAATGCGATAGTGGGAGTGAATGAGTTTATTTGAAACTTCTTCACTTTCTAATAGCTTACTGAATATGAGTAAAATTAGGAAATAATGTTCTACATTACAAAGGTTAATTTGTAAATCATACTTACCACGTGGCACCACAGACAAAAAGTAATAAAAAAAAACATTTAATGTTCAACCCTAACATCTGCCGGCATTTCATCATAGTCGGAGGCCATCTAAATAACAACAGCCAAGCTGAAATATAGGTAAGTCATTTCATTAACTTATTATATTGAAAACCAACAGAAACATAAATTATATTATGAAATTTTAAATATTTTCAATGGAAAACTACGCGATATTAAAGTCATTAAAATAAGTGAGCAAAGAAAATTTTGATTTATATATATACTTTAAATTGACATAACTTGTTTTATTTATGAATCGATTTAAATAAAACAAATACTAAATGTTAAGTGAAGCTTACCATAATACATTAGTGAAAATCGCACCCAAATCGGAAATCGGTTAAGCTGTTTGTGGGATTAGCGCGCACAAACGCACAGACAAGCAGACAAAAAATCTAATAATCTTTCTTTTGGGTTTTATTGCGTTAATAAAGATCCCCAATAATACTTTTTCTTAAATATCTTCCATGTACAGACAGCGATCAGTTACAATTTTATTATATCAAGGACGACACGTTTGGCTCAGTTTGTAGTGACTCTACTCGCTGTGCCAGCGGTCGCGGGTTCGAATCCCGCTGGGGGTAAGTATTCATTTGTATGATGAGTATGAACGTTTGTACTCCAGTCATGGGTGTTTATATTTATAATAGGTATGTATTTAGAGTTTATATATGTGTAGTGTATCAACTATCTGGTATCCATAACACAAGCCTCATAGCTTACCATGGAACCAGATGGTGCTGTGTGTTAATGTCCCAAAATATTTACTTATTTATATGTATAGATATCCTTATAATATATCTTCTGTTACATAATACCTTTATTTTGTCCAATGAAGGTATCAAGCAGCACAGCGTTTTTTTGAGCTTGTATTTTTTCAATCCAAAACGTATCGTTAATACTAAAAAAAATGACTTAAAAATTAGGTACATATTTACATACAGATACTCTATATTGTTATTCATATAAAATGTTATACCTAAGTATAGGTTTTATAGAAATTTTCTACTGTAACAAAGTTCGTTGAAGTATAATGAAAAGCTAAATAACTTCAGTAAGCCCATAATATCGTAACAATTAAACATTGTTATTTGTTTCTTCTGCGAAAACTATTTTGCGGAGTAGCTTTGTTTTGTAACTGCTATATCGAAAAATAAATTGAAAACATTTATTAGGTTTTCTTTTATGTAAGCATCTTTTTTAACATTAAAATATATGGACTCCACCAACAAAACACCGAACACGCGGACAGACATTGACACTGCACTATAATAACAGTTTTTTTGTTTTGTAGTCAGAACTAAGTAGATAAAAGAACAATAATACATAGTAAAATAATATGTATTTGCCTTTTCATAGTTTTTTTAATATTTACAGGTTAGCTAGGGTTTGGGAATTCCCGGCAATTTCAAAGTCCCGGGACACGAGACGGCCTACAATCAAAGTCTCGAGAATTTTTAGAATTTTTGTCTCTTTGTCTGGGAACGCATTACGAGAAAACCACTGGATAGATTTTGATGAAATTTGGTATGCTGGTTATCCAGGTCAACATAAAGGATACTTTTTGTTGCGGGAAAATATCTCAATTCTGAGATATCTATACTAACCGTTAAAACGTATCGAGGGACCGGACCCGAGCCACGGTAATATTACACATACATTACCGTGCCCGAGCGGAGCGAGGGTGAGTCGCTTATAGGTTATAAAGTAACTGTATATGTTCCCGAGTGGGAAATGATCTAGATCTACTGATTATATCTAGAAGACATTATAAGAATTGTTTTTTGTTTGTTTGAAGTCAGAGTTTCTAAAGACGTTGTTATCGTAAAAAATAGATATATTTACACTATATTTTTTCTATTAAAAGCCAACCAAAACGTGAACAAATGAAAACATTCATAAATAGTTAGATTGTCAATGACTTTACACAAATCGATATTTATATAGCTATTGTGTGAAATGTTAAAATACAATAAATATTTAAACGTGTAAGGGCCTTATCTAGATGATGGATGGGCCTCAGGGACTATTCAATCAGTGTAAGGAAAATGTTTCCAATCACCTACTATGTGTTTAATTTTATCAAAACACGTACATGGTAAAATGTTATGTTTGGTTTCAAAATTTATCTGAATTTATATTGTACACTTAAGTTTTCAAAGGACTACTAGAAAAGTCTGATTTGGAACTCTTTTGTTTAAAAAACAACAATGTGAACACTATGATTGGTTCAAATTGATGACGATGTTGAGTAACATAGATTAAAAAAATATGAATAAAACTTCAAGTCGCCCAAATTAGCGTCTAAAATATTATACTGGCAACACTGCGAGTACACTTACAAAATGTGTCCCGTCTAATAATTAAAATGACTTTTTTGTGGCAACAAAACGAGAACCTATAGTGACTATTAACTTGCATTTAAATAAAACGTTTTAACAATTCGATTCGGATAAAAGGTCCGTCGATTTAACTCACATACTATGATTTATTTACCAACGCCTTGAAGGCGCTAAACATATTATCGAAGGGTTTGAAATTCAGTTTATCTTTCAAAAGATTTATTGAACTTAATGGCCTTCGTGGCATGTGTCCGACTGTCAGTTACACGATTGATTTTCTTGCGGGACTAATGGTTATATAGACTATACCATACCATCCAAATATTTAAAATACTAGCGACCACCCTCGCTCCGTTCCGGTTCGTCCCTAGTTACGTTTTAACGTTTCTCGGAGATATTTTCCCGCAGTAAAACGTATCCTATATGTTGACCCGAATAATACCAAATTTCATTAAAATCTGTCCAGTGGTTTTCTCGTTAAGCGTTCCCAGATAGACAGACAGACGAAAATTCTAAAAACTATAGATTCGGCCTCTGTATCGACAATAATGTTTATTTCAATAAG